TACTGTGATTATTAGTATATGTAATTGGGGAAATTAAAAATATTCAAAGCGTTGTCAAATTTTAGAGAATATCGGAGACAATAAATACCTTCATTTACCGTCATGGTCCTCTGCTATTGCTGGATCTTGTTTTTTAAAAGATGATATTCTAATGACTGATTTATTACACTACTTTTACACAAACTCTAGGTTATATAGAGACCAAAAAATTATGTTGGACAGTCGCACTGTCAGAGAAATTTTCTAGCAATTGGATTATGGATTAGGAAACGGTTTCCTTATCATAAACCACATTCAATCTCTCCAAAAGACCATGGAATATGCTTTGTGTTTTTAACTATGAAAATATCTACAATACTTTAAGCCTGGTTTAAGTTTTAATCTTTGTAGAATGGCATTAGTAACGGTAAAAAAATCAAGATATAAAATATTTTTATAACGCTACCATAACGTCCAACTAATCACAAGGGCCAAGAATAGTAACAATCCAATTATATCAAGGTGTAGGAAAAGTAAATGTCGTCTCTCTGAAACTGCGTACCAATGCGTTGAAGGACGTCTCTAAAATATTTGAATACAACGGTCATGGAATATTCTGATGATTTACTAATCTTGGTGAGAACTCGGAGGACTTTAAAGTTATGCTGAATATGATTTAAGTTGTTTTTCAAGTAGGCTGAAGTCTTGGGTTGAATATTGATAATAACAAATTATGGTTACAAGTCATAGAGTTGCTTTAAAATCTTTATTGTCAAAGAATATGTACATAAGTATTAAACGTTAAAACCAAACATACATTCGTCAAATAATCTTTTAATTTGTTCAAACACGTTCAGAAAGCTATGAAATCTTTTTGAGTACTTTGAACTAAAATTTTTAACCATTGTATTTTAGTACTTAAACTACTTCTATCTGAGAATTTTTCCAGCATTAGCCAGGGTCTGCCTTACATGTTGTGAATAGTTTTTTGCTAATTGTTTCACGACCGGCCGCCTGCCTGACATCAACCCTCTTTGGGAATGCATTAATCAGTGATGTCTAAATACTCTTAGAAAGTACATATGACTCGGAAAAATCACATTGATACTTGCCAGGATCGAACCCGCGCCCACATATATGAGAGGCGGGAATTTTAACGACTAGGCCACCACTGACTTATTTTAGTACTTAAACTATGGAACCGAAACGGGGACCGACATTCTAGTGATCCCTAAATTCAAGTCAAGGTGGTTGAATAAGTTTTGTTAAACTTAATTTATTTACTTAACGTTTTTTTTTGTAATGTAATATGCTAATGTATAACAATTTGCCATCGCGATAACATCTACATTATAATTAGAATTTTAATCTGTCTTTACATCAACCATAGTTTCTGTATACAATTTTAATTAAAAATTGTTTACTGTTTGTGATATATTCCGCAATTGCGAAATTACGAGTACTTAGTTTAAAAGTATGTTTACAAAAAATATTTATATTTTCCAAACTGATATTAGCATTAATTATTTTAAAATACTAAGTAGAAATTCTGTACCTTGATAAGAAAAGAATTGACCCTTATAGTTTTTTCTTAGTTCATCTGTCTATGAGTATTAGATTAAAAGAGTATAAAAACGTGTACGTTACAGCGTGTTCAAGGTGGGCGTTGTCGGTGGACAGTAAATATCAAGAAAAAATTCAACTAACGAGTAAATACTCGTAACTATTGTTACCATTTATTTAGTTGTAAGTGTATATTACTACTTTAAAATAAAAGTTAACAGCTTCTCAAATGTGATAGTAAATAAAATGAGTATCTTAACAATTTTTCTTTTTGATGGTGCCTAGGTTACTTTTGGGAGTTTATTTTAACATTTAATGAACTTTACCGTAGTGATGTAAAGCTTAATGTTGTAAAATATTATATTAAGATAACAGTGGAAAAACTCAAAATTTTATTTCACACATTGATGTTTATTTGTTTCCATTTAAAGTATGTTCTTTTATTCACTTAATCCAATTATGTTTAGAGATTCTTTCGGAATCCATTGAAAGGTTTTCAAATGCAGTACCAAAATTATAGCTATGACCACCATTATTGTAAAATTTTAGTGTTGAAATTACATCAATAATATCAAGAAACTCTTACAAAGTTACATAATACAATATTCAAAAATTACGCAAGGAGAACAAACAAGACGATAAAGAGTTAATTTGTTTTGAAGTAAGTTAAAATTAGTTATGATATTTTAAAACAAAAAGGATAGAACACAATTACATTAAGAGCGTTTCAAAAGTTTATTAATAAAAATAAAAATAGGTTTTTCATGAAGCTGCTTGTGTTTTGGTTTGAATAATTACAAATATGATATTTTTATCACGCCACTAATAAAACTTCTATTAAAGTTAAAATGTATGAAGTTTAATTTGTTTATAAATATTAAAAAAAACTGCCACGAACATTTTGTGAAATATACATATTTTACTAAAAACATTAAAGGGTATATTTTGCAGTAAAAGTTTTGAAACTTTTGAATGTGCATAAAATTTATTTTTATGGACAGATTATCGGCAGAATCTGAATGTCGTGATAAAAATTGAGTTAAAAAACAAGTTTGAGGATTATCACAATGTCACAAACAAAAAAAGAAAAGATTCAATTGTTAGTCACTGTTTCTTGATAAGATATTTTGATGCAGAATATAAGTACAATATGGTATTACTTTTAAATTGAAATCATTTAATGAAATACCAATAAATTTATTCGTTTACGCCATCTCCACATTACGGGGCTGTTATCTATAAAATACTAATATATTTTAGTACAGATAAAAACTCGTAATGTTTTTCTTAGAAAACGTATACTTCGTTAGTAAAACATATTTTTCACAAATAAAAGTAAAAGGGTACAAAATATTTAATTTCTGGTAGAAAACCTACTTAACATTACGCACGGTCAGTTATTGACGTTCATCAATCATAAGTCGAAAATGGATCTTAACGGCTTATTAAACAATATTTTTGTATTTTGTTGTCTATTGTGATAGCACTATATATACTGTGGCTTTGGTCTTGTTTTAGATTTTTTTTATTATCCACCGATTTTTTCATTTTATTTGAAGATAACCGAAGCCACAGGAAACTTATTTATATTTGTTAATATTCTTTGTGATAGAAAAAATAGATTTATTTTTATGTAAAGGGTCGAGTCTGTTGACATTATAACACTTGGGGTTGAATTCGTTCCAGTTTAAGAATTATACAATAGAATAGTAAATTTAGCGTCTAATTAAACATAAGGAGTATTTAAAAGTACTCATTCATTTGATGTTTCTTTATAAAGGGCTTCATCCAAATATTGGCCACAGTTTATTACAATAGCCTTTTTGTGTTAAATAACTAAATATACATGTATATATATACATATAGTTTGTATACATTTTTCAAGTTTGTTCTAGATTCAGCAAAACAAAAGTTTTTCTAGCCCACTCTGCAAGATCAAAGGGCTGCCTCGAAGCCCGTTTGTGAAGAAATTTATGACAGGAATATGAAGGAAATTCCTAAAAACAAGACCGTTACCCACTTTATGAAGAAAATAATACCCGTTTTCTCTCTAACAATATGTATAGAAAATTTCACACACTTCAGTGAGCAATATATCCTTTTTATTTGAACAATTTTTATTCTTATAAATTTATCATAGAAAAATATCGTTACAACAAGAGTTCACTATAAACACAAAAATTTATTTTTTCAATATTTTATTTATAGTGTGCTGAAAATAAATAAATAAATTTATTAGATTTTAATTTATGTGATCCTGTTCACGACACAAGTGTAGATAACCTATGATGTATTGTTGAGTCACTTACATATTATTCTAATAACGTAATAATATATTTGTGTATATATGTTAAATATTTATGTACTTGTATATGCATTTGTTTGTGCATATTTATGTATATTATGTATATGTATATGTATGTATTTTATATCATGTATATATTTTTAATGTTTCTTTAACTTCTGTGCACACCCTACTTACTTCTATCCTACACTTTCTGGGTTGGCTGGCAGAAAATGCTGTAATAGCGTTAAGTCCGCCCTTTGTACACCTCTGTTTGTGCAATAAAGAATAATAAAAAAAAAAAAAAAAGGGCATTAATAATGTTGTTAAAGAGTTTATACATGCTCAAATTAAAATTGATATGATGCCATTTAAATTAATAATATTAGTTTATTTTGTTTAAATACGAATTATTTTCAATATTTTTGTTGCATTATTGGAATACTCTTTAAAACAAATTGGTATCGTAGTCTAAATACGTGATTATTTGTTGAAGTAAAAATGAAACGAACATTGGCTAGTAATATATTTATTATATTAAGCATTAACAAACCTGATTCTGATATCCCTTTCAAATAAGGGCTCATATTATTTTAAAGGGATATTAAAAGTATGAGATAATTGAATTTTAATTATAAGAAAAGTGTAATACTAGCTTGTGTGTAAATTTAGTATAATTCGTGGAGTACATACTCAACGAATAGTGGAACTCTTTATTAATTAATCAATATTATTATTATCATTATTACCTATATACATTGAGATATGTATGTACATCTATTATTGCTATGTACACTAAAATTATTTCGTTGACATTAGTGTATAAATAATATATTAATATTATTCTAACATAATAGTGCTATGCACCAAAAAAATCTTTTATATACATTTATAGTAGATTCTAAATTGCAAACACTTTTAGGAACTAGTTGAATTATTTACAAAAACTAAACTACTTTTTTCAACTACATTACTATTCTATAGACGGTTTCATTTATAAAGACTAGTTTCAATTTCTCTTCTATAACAACATACATATGCATATATAAACATTTTATACTGAAAACTATTTTGAGCAAGATAGCGGCATCCATAAGTTAAAATTATATAAATTTGAAACAATGGAATCTTACATTCTAATTTTTGGCACCTACTGCTTATAATAATTTTTTTGTCAGGGCTTTATGCATAAAAGTTTTTTGAACGCTCGCCTGAAGTCCATATTAAATATGGTGTATATTAAAGGATTTAGGGCTGAGTTTATGTATCCTAGCCATGTCACAAAATTTATAAATTTATTTGAATAACAACAACTTGAACAGAATGGAATTACTACATAAAGTACGAAAAACGGCAACCAACAAACGACAAAGACGCCCATAATTATACCAAGTGTACGAGCCGCTCTTCGTTCTCGTGTAAGTGATATACGCTGTTTCTCTTCTATGAATTGGTACACAGTATTTTGCTGACTTGTTTTTTGACGTTTCTGAACCTTAGCAATCGAAGATTCTATGACCTCCAAATCGTCTTCGTGGGTTTCTTTAGAATTGCTCTCTGAAGAAGTATTTCTATTTTCTAAATTCTCTGCCGCATCTGTTACAGAATTGTCATTAGATAAAATTGGTATAATAAGTTTATTGTGAGATTTATCGTCTTTACTCCAATATTTTCGGATCGGTCTAGTTTTTGAAGTTGTTTTTATTGATTTCTTCTTTTTATCCTTACTAGAACGTAGTTTTGTATCTCCTTGGTTATCATTGTGGTTAGCATCAGAGCTTACCGAGTCTTGATCATTTTGTTCTTTCGATGAAAATCTGCTTTTGCCACTAGATATAGTACTTATTTTAGTAGCCTTAGCTCGATCTCTCAATCGTTTTTTAGTTGCCAAATATATTTCAAAATACACTACTGTCATGATAACTAATGGTATATAAAATGATCCAGAGGAAGAAAATATAACGAAACCAGGCTGCGAAGTTAATCGGCAAGGCGTGTCTGGTTCAAATATATCCGGCCAGTCGTTCCATCCTAACAAAGGCGGGGAACTAATTATTAGAGATAATATCCATACTATACCAATCATGAGAAGTACTCTTTCCAATGTTCTCTTTTGTGCGTAATTTATTGGGTCAGTTATAGCCCAATATCGGTCGAGTGCTATGGCGCAAAGATTTAATATAGAGGAAGTGCAACACATTATATCGCATGTCAGCCACATTTTGCACATATAAATCCCAAAAATCCACTGACCCAAAATGGAGTATGCAACATTAAGAGGAAGAACTAAAATAGCTACCGTTAAATCTGCTACCGCTAATGATACTATGAAAAAGTTTTGGACAATTCTAAGAGGTTTATAAGTAAATACACTTAATATTACTAATATATTGCCCACAATGGTCGAAATAATGATAAGGGTAAGTACTATGGCTGTACAAATCGCCTCCCATTCCGGCACAGCCAATGTAATTCCGAAGCTACTTGGATATTTGGGCTCATCTGCCACGGCACAGGCGTCTTTATCAACGTCTACAACATAATAAGATTGCGAATCATTTATTGAAGTAAAGTTAGCGAGAACATGCGTATATGTTTGGCCCATTGTAGATGTTTGATTAGATTCATTTCACGCAGCATTATTCATGTTGATCTCCAAGATATTGTGAATATCTTAGTGAGTGACGACGGTATATCTTCATTTCTCTCAAAGTGTTATTTCTCAAGAGTATATTTTTTATACGGCAGTATTCTGTTAACAAAATTAAATAAGCTTTTAGATCCAATGAAGAAAAATACGAAAGTTTAATTCAAAATATTCAGGTTCAAAATGAAAATTACCCTCTGCTCAAAGCTTTTTGCGGAAACATCCATTTACATAACCGGTTCATTATACAAGATGAAATCTGTAACAAAAAAAAGATCTATTTATACATATATATATCATTAAATCATACAAATATTTCATAGACAGTATAAATTATAATGTTCAACATTGATTTAAAGCATGCTTTCTAAATATATTCTTTAAGGAATTCAATTTTAGATATAAAATGTTTATATATTATAAATTAATGATTTTTGTTCATCTGAAGTATTTAAATTGGTTTTAATTAAATAAAAAATGATTTGTGTTAATAACCTACGCTTCCAATTTTTGTTCTTGTGAAATAAGGTAAAATGACCACAGATTATTATTAATCGAATATCTCATTCCTCGAATATTTAGTCAAACCACATACATTCCCAAGAGATATTTCTCTAAAAAAAATTAATAGGAGCTGTTATACCAAAAAATAGACACTCAATTATTTATATTTATTATAAATGTTTTGAACTTTGGTCTACTAAGTATTTTCATTAATCAGGCAGTACTAGCATGTTAAATATATATTCATATTTAAGTACATCTAAAACATTTTTTTTTAATATTTTTTACTAAATTAGAACGCTGAAACTTCTCACACTCATTGATCTTACTTGGAGAAACAAGATCACAATGTCATTAAGTCACTATATGTTTATAATATATCACTTTTATCTAATGGCATATTATAATGCAGGAGTATATAAATTAATATACTTAAGTGGATATAACCATTATATACATACACATAACTTTAGTACAAATAATTATTTCAGTCTTGCTACTGAGCTCCTAATTGGGTACAATTAATGTTGCACGTGTAATGTAATAAATTTGAATTATTGCACATACAGTTATTTCAGAAGATTATATTTTGCTACATTTATTTATAGCCAGGTCTTTTTCAACACTACAGAATGACGTATAGTTTGCGTTCAACCTTAATTAGGTTAATAAAATGAGCTCAGTCTTTTTTATTTTTTAATATATTGACACTTTTTATTGCTTTATAACGGTATGATAGACATCGAAATCAGCGACAAAGTTTTAAATTGCTATTTATAAATCATAATCAACAATGTATAATAAAAGAAGAAAGGGAAAATTTGATAAATGATTGAATAACGGACGACGTGACGTCTATAGCTTTCTTAAGACCTTATTGTACGCCAAATCGATTTTGACTGGATAAATTATACATTACAGCTAAATTAATATTATAGCAAGTATTTTATATGAAACGGATATTGGTTGTATATAATTTAAAATTATAATAACTGAAATACAAAGTTGCTTTCTTGCTTTGTGTTGCCACACAGTAACTGGGACGCTAATCTTGAAGACTTACAAAAGTAACCTAAGTTTCGACTTTTGCTGATCCTAACTTATTGCTCAACTTTAGCTTTCATATATCAAATAGGTTTAGCGAAATATATTTCCTTCTTAGTGTACTATGGATACCAAAAACGGGCTACTTTCAATTGTTTTAAATATCAATATTATATACATCTTATACGTTTGAAAAACCAACTCTCGATATATTAGTTCCAATGTGATTGTACTTCATAATTAATCCTTTGTAATAATACTCCTGACGTGCTTTAATTAAGCGGAAAATGACGTATACTTATAAATTAATTACAATGTATTACCACGACGGATTATTTGTTGTATTACTAGTAGTTTAAGGATTACTAATTAGATAGGTTTATAATATTTAATCATATTATATTTTTGGTCACAAAAGTTTTTTTTTTTTATTTTATAAAATTATTATTTATCCTTGTCTAGTATATCATCAAAGTTATTTTTTTTAGGTTAAAACGGTCATTCTTTTTACTGATTTTTTGTCCAATACTAATATCGTCAAGTACTAAAATCTTAACTCAAATTAAAATTTCCAAATTTTTAATCTTACGTTGCAGATAGTTAAAAAATAAGAAGTTTTTAAATTATTATAAAAATAATAATTTTCTACTTCTAAATATTGAAAAATATATAGAATATGATATAAGGATCACTCTTACTTTGTTATTGTTCTTTTTAAAAGAGACAACACGCTTAACAAAGACTGAAGCTCAAGTATTCAGTGAAGTGCTCTTCGTTGTTTTCGTGTTAAAATATAAGCAGAATATTTTTGGAGGTGTTGGAGGAATATTTAATTAAATCGAAATATATGAAGACTTAAAGAGTAAAAGATTTATAAATTTATCAACTTTGTTACGACAAAATTAAAATCTCAGTGAATAGCTTTGAATGAATACCTTTAGAATAGATAAAACCATTGTATTTTAATAATTCTTAAGAAGTAGTAAGAACTGACAATGTGATTTTAAAATACTAGACACCGCAATAAACTTTTATTAAAAGTACTTAATTATAACATAGTATACCATCAAATACAATTGTTCATTTTATTTATCAACATAGTGAAATAACGAATGAATATAAAATATAAATACACAGTATACACGGGACTCAATTATTTAACGAGATAGATGACTGTTTTAAAATCATTAAAATCCGGTGAGAGAACTTAAAATTAAACAAGAAAATGAAGCACGTAACAAATAAAACACTATTTTCGTAAAACGAATTTTTTTTTATTAATGTACAGTATTTGGTAACAAAATTATATTTTTTTTATTAAATAGATAAGTAGAATCCTAAATAAATCCTTTAACTATTTTAGTTTTCAAAAGAATATCTCGTTTAAAATTCACTAATTTCTGTAAAACAACACATATTTGAGAATCCACGTCTTTGTTTTGTATTGAATGACTCGATCGAAATCCGTTACTCGCTGTTTGCACGAATCTGTAGTCATTGATTTTGTTTGTTCCATCGAACACCACTAGAAAGCCTAGAATAAGATTAGATTTGTTCAACAGTATTAGGACTTATACATTTTTTTTACACTAACACTTTTAATATGAACCTCATACTGCTTGTATATTTAGATAAAATATCCACTATAGCAAAATCCAATTATGACTTTTAAAGCAATTTATAGTCTCTGAGGTACAGGGCAAGTACTAAGAATTTATGGGCTTTTTATGTAGCAAAATAAATTATTTACTCATAGACAGTCTTGAATGATACAAAAACAGAATTTTATATTCAAAAATTGCTGTACGCAATTGTATATAAAAGAAGGAGTATTTTGAGAACTATCTTTCGTAAACAATGCTGTAAAAAGAGTCCATGAAGACTATTCAGTTTTTAAACATATAAACATAGATCATTAAGTTGTACAGATAATGTTTATATCTTTATTAGTCCATATAAATTTCGTTAGTATTTAATATTACGATATAAAACAGAAGTATACACCTTCAAAAACTGAATATACTTGTCAATTTTCTTCTTAAAATGAATAAGTGTTCATTAAGTGACGTGCAAAAACTATGAATATACAAAATGTTACTTCAGATGTATATGCTAGACATATGAAAAAAAAAGTACCTTTGAAATCAACTTTAACTCATACAAGTTACAGAAAACGTACACTTTCATAAATGAAGGTTTATTCTACTAACATTTATTTAGGGTTCTTTGCATATCACTTAAGGCGATGAGTATAACAGATATAAAAGGTTGTCTTCAACGAAACCTTTACTTTATTGCTTAAAAGGTAAGAAAAGAATTATTATTTTTGTTATAAGTTAAAAGAGCGACACCAAAAGCAATGTTTTAATGAGTTTAGAGCCATATTCTAAAGATTTCAGAATAAGAGAATAAATAAAAAAACAAAATGCAGTTTTTGAAAACAATTGGAAAATAGAACAGAGAATTACAGTTTAGTAAACATTTTTCTATTTTAAAATGTTAACAAAAATAAAATATGCAAAAGAAATTTGGAGATTTTTTTTCTTTTTTATTTGCTAAGACGTTTTATTCTCTTCTTTACTATTTCATAAGATTTATTGATATTCATATCTGTGTCGTTGGCGGAACTAATGAAATATGTATGTCATACAACACTTAGTGGAAATGTCGGTTTATACATTTACATTGAGACTATAGAAACATTTTATCCTCTTCAGTCTTTTTTTGAGTGATTGAAATATATATATGGCCAATAAAATTAGTTTTGTTTATTCAAAACTAACCTTAATTATTAGTTTGGTATGCACGAAACAAAATAAATTAAAACTACCAGAATCTTGAGATGTAAAATATTTCTCATAATAAATTACATATTTATAATTGTTGATTATTATTTAATAAAACATATAAAAGTTATGAAATCTAAAGTGCACTTAAAGGTAATATAAGTGAGTTCATAAAAAAATCTGTAGCCGTTAATATTTTGTTGAAAAAGCTGTTATAAATATTTTCATTACAAATGAACATCAACATCGAAATTATTTAAAAAAAATTTTTTCATTAATTGTACCTTTGTGTATAAATTCTTAATCCGTCGGGACTGTAATCAGTTTTAATACTATATTTTTGCATTTAAATTTTTTACCCTCGAAGTTTGATCTAAAGGTATTATGTATTCGCATATTTTTTATTTTAAAATTTTTCCTAAATGTTCCATATTCTTAATGAGACTTATATAGTGTATTGATATTCATAAAATATTCAGGTGTTTATTTATATTCTTGTTTCGGATAGTCACCACAAAATGACAAAATACACATTTTCAGCACTTCTATACCAACATTTAATTAACAAACGTAAAGAAGAGGTAATTATTGCTATAGCCACCAAGTACTGGTATAATTATGTAT